GCTCACGAACTTCGTAGAGGGATCGCTGCGTCACGAAGTGAGGCATCTGTTGCTGTACGAGCTGACCAAAGATACTGAGAATGTTGAAGATGGCAAACATCTGGTTTTGCAGTCCCTGGATAGTGACTGGAGCGTTCAGGAAGACGAGTCCGATGAACAGAGAGACGGCACAGCAGAGAATGAACTTGGAGTAGATGTATGAAGGAGTGCGCCAATACTGCTGGAACACACGGTGGGTAACGGTCAGGAGCTGCGAGGTCATGGGCGAAGCGAACTCGTCGTGCGTGTCACCCTTTCGCTCGTCCGCAACACTGGCACGGGCAGCACGCTCAGACTTGAGACGTTGGAGCTCAGTCTGCACGCCTTCGTACTCGGAACTATCAAGCCAAGTCTGGTGCCAATCTCTCTCAGTGCTAGATCCAGGGGCAGCGCCGATGGCTTCAAGCATCCATTCAGCGGGGTTCTCATCATCCAGGCACTTTGGAGCACCGTGTCTCTCAAAGTAAGAAGTCATGGTCTTCGAATGTTCACCAATATCGCCAAAATACACAGTCTTACCGCCCTTGGCAAGGAAGAGGAGGCGGTCAAAGCGTTGAAACAACATAGCGGAAGGTTGGTGGATGGTGCAGAGAACAGATTGGCCGGCCTTTGAGAGCTTTTCCAACAAATCAAGGATAGCCCAAGATGTCTGCGAGTCAAGACCAGAGGTTGGCTCGTCAACGAACAACAGCAGAGGGGGTTTGGCAGCAAGCTCCACGCCAATTGTCAATCTCTTGCGTTGCTCCACGTTCAGGCCCTCTCCAAGAACACCAACGACGGCGTCAGCATAGGCCTGCATGTCAAGCAGCCTGATAACCTCATCGACATAAGCAAGCTTTTCAGCCTTGGGGGTACCAGCAGGTTGACGCAGCAGGGCGCTAAATTCAAGAGCCTCACGAACAGTTGTTGTCTCCAAGTGCAGATCCTGTTGTTGAACATAGCCAGTCTTGCGTTGGAATGAATCGTCGCGAAGCTTTCCATCGACAAGCATCTCACCCGTAATCACACCCATGGAAATACGGTCAGCCAGACAGTCGAGCAAGGTAGTCTTACCGGCACCAGAGACACCCATGAGAGCTGTGAGCGTGCCAGGTTTGACCCATCCATCAACATTATCCAGAATACGCCTAGGTTCGCCCTTGATCTTGATATCGTAGCAGACATTGTTCCAATGGAAAACGCTGGTAGAGCCCTGAATGTTTCCTCCTTCGGAATCGCTACCAGCTCGGTCGGCGATGACGGCAGGCCCTGAAACGGCAGCTTCGATATCGCCCTTGTTGTCTGCGCTCTTGGGGAGATGTCCCTTTCTGAAAACCAAGACTTCACCCTTGGACTTCTTGGCAGAGATCCACTCGGTTGCACACAGGTAGATGAGATGCAGACCAACAGCAAACGCGATCAGAATACCGACATTCCTCCACTTGTGGCTGGGGTGATAGGAATACATCTGCTCGTAGTAGTCCTCTCCCAGCACAGCGCTCCTGCCGGGGACCGAGCCAACGACAGTGCAGGCCATGTTCTCGATTGAGGTGTTCTCGTAGCCTGGGACAGTGCGCATCGGGACAAACGCCATGCATTCAAAGGAGCGGCCGGTGAACTCGTTGATCATCAGAGCCTCATATGCGTAAGCAACAGGGTCAAGCCAGTTAATCCATCGGCACCAGCCAAGCATGTAGCGAACGGGAATGACGAAGCCGGTGAAGATAACCATAGCTAAGATCAAGATTGCAGCGGGCACCATTGCTTGAGAGAGCGTACGCGAGAGAGCGGCACTGGAAAAGGATTAGTATTCCGACTTTCATCAGGATGGGATCCAGGGGAGCGTAGACTTACATCGATCGGAACAGGCCTGACATAGCCAGCACCATCAGGAATGTGACAAGCCAGAAGAAGAAGAACGCTCCAGGTTCACGCCTGAGGTGAGCCATGAAGTAGATTGTCAAATTATAAAAGATACTGTTGAGAACCTTGTAGGGCATGTCGACAAGAATCGAGGCAAAGGCTTCAGAAGACGAATGATAGAATCCATAACGGGAGTGCTTCTCAACAATAGGTCGCTGAGAGTACTGGGTAAGAATTTCAAGAGCGCTGGAGAAGGCATTGGCAAGGATGGCAAGAAAGAGCACCGCAGTACGACCGTAGAAAGAACCTGTGTGAGGCTGGAGATTGTAAAAGAGAGAAGAGGCGATGAGGGCAATGACAGTGTTTGCAACCAGGGAGAATATGGTCAAGCTTGGGTCGCCTATGAGGCGCTTCCACCCACGCCAAAGACAGAGTTTGATCTGCTGTCCGTACGTAAGGGTGTAAGGGGACTTGAGACGCTGACCCTTGCCCTGGACAGCCTTCTTGCCAGCACGGAACTCTTCAGCGTGGGGGCCGTTGAGTGCGTACTCCTGCTTATACTCCTCAATCTCGCGCTGCAAGGCCTTGTACTCCTCACTGTTCTTCCAGCATTCGGCGAATTCATCAGGGGTACGGGGCACCTTGCCCTCGAAGCCCTTGCGCACGACACGCTCAGATGGGGCAGTCATCGAGGTCAGGAAGTCAGGGGTGGTCTGTCGCGCTGGGCATTCGAAGCCCAAGTTGACAAAGTACTCCTTAGCCTTGTTTCCAGGTCCGAAGAAGATCTGGCGGCCCTCGTAGAGCACAGCCGCCTTGTCGAAGAGATCGTATGCGCTCTGAGGAGCCTGGTAGATGGAGACGGCACAAGTTTGGCCAAACAACTCCGACTGAAGGCGAAGCGTCTTGCAAAACTCGATAGCATTGGCAGAATCCAAGCCTCTGGTTGAGTTGTCCCAGCACTGAAGAGGAGCGTTTGACAAGGTAGCCTCGGCAATGGTCACGCGCTTACGCTCACCACCCGACACACCGCGGATGTACTCATTACCAACGCGGGTGTTGACTGTGTGGGCAATGCCGTACATGTTCATGACAACATCTCGCTGGTGGTCGCAGTATTCGTTGTGCGAAATACCCTCCGGGAGGTTTCGAGGGCATCGCGCCCGCGAGGCAAACGTCAGAGTGTCTCCAACCGAGAGCATGGGGAAGTGAACATCAACCTCTGCCGTGTAGATGGCTTCGCCCCTGTGGTGGCTATGCATCTCGTCTGCGGTCACACCTTGGTAGTTGAGATAGGTGGACTTATCGGTGTAAATGCCGTTCTGTTCGCCGGCAAGAGTCTTGAGGAAGGTTGTGCAGCCAGCACCCGGAGGGCCTAGAACGACAAGCATCTCACCAGAACGGACAATTCCATCAAAGCTGCGAAGGATATCGATTCGTCTGTTTCCATGATTCTTCGAGAAGAGGTTGCGAGCAAGGTCTGGGAGTTCGAGGAGAATGTTGCCGACATCCTTTTGGTAATCCGTGGCGTTTCCGAACCCGTAGACGTTCATGTTTTGGAAACAGAAGCCAGTCTTGCGAAAGTTGACACCATTGTCAGACGAGTATCTGGCGAGGGTCTTGGCCCAGACTCGGGCACTGAAGTGATCACCAGAGGGATTCAGGGGCGAGTTCGGGTCGTTGTTGGCGAAGAGGTTACGCGCGTTGCCGTGAATGTCGCCGACAGATTGATGGGAAAACCGGCGAGCAAGTTCTTGGATGGCCGAGTGTCGACGTTCCATCTCCGATCCAACACTCTCATCGCTATCAGAGGCTTCCCCATTTGTTCCCACCTCGATTTCGCTCTTGTTGTGGCCCTTTTCATTCGGGGAAGCTTGGACTTTCTGCGAAGCGGCGCTGTCGATCATGGTCTCGCGACTACTAGTGGGCGACTTCCCAGGGAAGCCACCCAAACCCCCGGTGGGCTTTTCACTCATATTGTCACGATGTTTGTTTCGATTCTTGAGCAAATTATTAGACGGCGATCCTTCATAGCGTCTTGTCTGACCAGTAAGAGAGGAGGCACTTACAGCAGTTGAGAACAATAAATTATAACGTGTTAAATATCGAATTCAATCAATCCTAAGCTCCGATGAAACGGAGGAGGGTGATGACTTCGATCTCCAGAGTCCTCTTTACCTCATAGGCAGACAACGAACCCGGAGAAGAACTGGATTAGGGGGTCAGAAGGGAAAGAACGCAATATTCTGCAGGTAAAGCTGATATTACTTTGCACAAGGCAAACACTGCAAATATTGGCGTAAAGAATTAAGAAGAAAAAGGTTGTATCCAGCCAGGGTCCAGCGAATATAATATAAAAAATTCAATCTTTCCCACAGGGGCGATGGGCAAGGATGCGTATCTGTCCAGTGTCCGGCATGTCGCAATCAGATCGGACAAAGTCTGCATCCAAGAACCCGAATCGCTCTATGTTTACTAATGGAACCCAAAAGGGGCGCTGCATAAATCTGGATACGTGTGGCATCCCCCATGGGTGTGATATCGCTGACTAGAGACGGGCCCTTGTAGGAGTCCGAAAGAGTCCGCCGCGGAGCATCCACTCAGACCGGCCAAGCAGTGTGTCGGACTGATCCGAGAACATACCGTCCGCGTTGGGTAGAACCTTGTGGGCCAGGACTTTGTGGAGAATCCTCCATTATTATTACATTGACTCGAGAGTTATATGTCACCAGCCCATATCCGCCCCATGAAATATTCATCTCAAGCGTAAGGAGCCATGACGGGCTCCGATGAGGGCATCGTTAGGGGCGTGCGCTCGTGACCGATCATTACCGGCTTCTCGATGGGGAACCCTTGGCACTACTATGTATATCATTCGTTAGGGATGGCCAGGATGCTAGATGTTTTGGGGTGGTATGGCACATGACATGATTTTTTTCTACGACTCTGTAGGATATAGCCGCCAGATCTCAGCTGTCCTCGAAGAGGGGTACTGTCTGTTTTCATTTGTATAATTGTGACTTGGGAAAAGAATCAGACTTGCTCCAGAGTCCTATGAGCCCCTTCACCAACCTACATATACCACCACCTCCAAGGTCCCATGCTTCGCGCCTAATCACACCATGTCACTCAACAATGTCCCCCGACCAGCACAGCTACAGCGAACGGAGAAGGTTCTAGCATGTGTGAACTGCCAACACCGCAAAAAGAAATGCGACAGAGCTAGCCCATGTTCCTTATGCATCAAAGTACGTGGCTAATGTGACGAACCATTGATACTTCATAACCATTGCCAAATATGCGCATACATAGACTGACAAAATGCAACAGCTTGATGTCCCCTGCACCCCGAGTACGCCCGCGCCTCGTCGAAAACGGCGGAAGAAAACGAGAGAAATGATAGACAGACTGGAGCGCTGCGAAGCTCTCTTGATGCAATGGGTTGCTTCCGATGGATGCACCCGAGTAGCTCGAACTAGTCCGTCAGAGAATGGCTCTGCGACAACGACGACGACGACAACATCTTCGGAGGCGGCATCAAGAGAATCAGCAGAGTCGCCGGGCTCGCCCACAACCACAGCCACTACAACATCAACGTCCAGTCCGCCACCATGCTCCTACGCAAATATTCAGAAGCATTTCAAACCATGCCCAGCGGCACATATAATTAAGAATAAAATAACCACCACAACGTCGAGTATGCTATCAGATTTCCAACTGAGGCCGGGAGTTATACGCAGCATTGAGGGTCCGGATGATATGCATGAAATCCACAGCCATCGTCCACCACGATCTCCCACCTCGTCTTGGTTCCCGTTGTTAGGCAAAGGGCCATAATCGATCAATAGGGATGCAGGAGCGTGTAAATAACGACGGAACGAACAATAATGACGACACTTAGTTAATAGTACCCAATATACCCAGCCATATGTTGAAAGAAAATAATAATACAGAAGAGAGGCGTTGAAAATGGCATATCACCACCACTTTGCGTGTAGTTTGTGAGTCGACAGCGAACCATCCGTCTCAACTGCTCGAGCGCAGGACAGACGAGAAGGAGGGGGGAAGCTGAGGTTAAAAGTTGCGGGGGATCGAGGGTTCTCGGACAGAAATAAGCGGGGAATCCGACAAACTGGCCCCTGTTTTTTGTTATTCAAACGTCGGCCCACGGAGCCCCTGAAGTGGGCCGCGGAAGTGCCCCAGCAGCCCTGCCACGCCGTCCTCCAGCAAATAAACTATTCTCATTCACTGGTGACCCCGTCGTCAGCGCCTGGATGAATCATGATGAGCCCTGATGGCCCACCGAGGGGACTGAATTTCACATCTGGTGGCCAACCCGGCCTACAACGGGCCCTCGGGTTCCTCATGGAGCCCGAAAGAAAGGCCTTTTTGTCTGAGAGATATCAGAATTTTCAGAGGGTTCAATTACACCACGTAACAGGGCGGATTGAAGCTGAGAATATCACGGAAACATCGTGGTGTCCGCCTTGGCGGCGTCACCAACAGCATCATCCCCACTCCTCGATATGTCACTAAGTGATTGATTTCAAAGAAAAAGCTGTGTAATCTAGGACGCGTAGGATCTGTTGATTCTTCCGAACAGCGTGGGATGTATTTGATGTCCGACGGACTGTTGATCAAGTATCACACCCCGTTCGCGGCATCAACAGAGTGACTCATCTTGAGCAGTATCTCGAAATTAAGAAACGAATATTCATAGTACTATAATATCAAAAGCGAACTTAACGAACGACGTTGTACGTTGTTATAGTGTTATCGGGGGCGTTTTGGGCATCTTTGATTTAGATTAGATCACTAAGTGTATTTCACTTTCCGCAACGACTCGGTGAATAATTACTGAGAAAGCACCGAATCAAATGAATACCAGATTTTGTAAAATGGAAATCATACGTTCAGCTGCAGTTCAGCACAAGGAAATTGTAGCGTACACTCAAGCTTCCCGTGCCTGACATGAAAAGGTGCATGTTTAGAGCGGCCTCCAACGCCCCTACCCAGACCTTGAGTCAGCCTCAGTTTCAACTTTGATGCCTACATGAGGTACCCCCCTCTATGACTTTGTGGATCTCAGCCCAATAATAAAACACGTTTCCAAATTCTACATGTGTCCAAGAGGAAAATGCCAGCTACCATCTCACCTCCACCAACCCTGTTCTCGTTCACACCTTCTTGAGCAATGACGGGTGGCTCTATGAATCCGATACACCCCATACAAACAAGGATCCAGATCAATGATCAAAGAACGGCGGGTCACTGAAAGTCTTCTAAGCTCCACATTCAACGAACGGAGGGATATTCAGGGGGTATCAGTTACCTTTTTGAGATGAAGCGTACATAGTAGTATCGCCACTCTGACACATCCCATCTTCAGCATGAAGTTGTGATTTGAAATCATGTGTCCTCCTTTTAGCTGAAACCCAGAAGCTTTGATCTCTTTGGACGGCGTATTAGAGTAACTTGATCTTAGTGAGTGATCTTCGTGAGTGATCTTGGTTGAAATGTCGTAGATTATATCAGATTAGCAACTAGCTGAGGTAATGTTTTAACATTATGCAGGCCATGATTAAAGCACAGTGTATTATATCTCCAGGTGAACTTTTTATTTAAGTGATAGTGAGGTTTCCTGTAGGTTATTGATAAAGAAGAAAACATAAAAACTACGCAAGCACTTCATTCATTCTCTACTTTGGTGGGTTCATAATGTGAATGGATCCTCGGTCTCCAACAAAGCATGTAATTCTCGAGACATATTGTTTAAAATAGTTTGCGAGATTCCAATATGTTACACAGCGCAGTTTCAAGATATATTTTATTCTTACGCCACCTACTTTAATATCAAGATTCTTGTGGATAGATGTCAACCCCGGAATAAGTCTCAATCACCTTTGTTACAGACTTCAACCTGGCTCAAGGGTAGGGCTCTGCAATGGATGCGATGTATTTTCAGTCTTCAGGGTTCTGAATGGGGCTAGAAGCGTTCTCTATTGAGGGCAGCTCTACCGGGGGTAGACTAAAAATACTCACGGGGATACCTTTTCTCCGCTAAAGCTCTCCTCTGGTCCCGGCCTTTACAACATCTCGGTATCGAGACAAACATATGTGTGCCAAAACTTTTCAATTATCAATGCCAAGTATTTTACTTTTTTCAATATTATGTCGAGAGGTAAATCTCCAAATTTCACACGTCTCAAAATACCACAGTTGAGGTGATGTGAATGCAGGTTGTACTGTGGACTAGTAAAGGTTGAGTACCTAGTAAAGTGAGCAAACCATGATCTGTGGAAATTATCTTCTTTCTCTAAATTCTCACTATTTTTCTCGACTTAGACGCAATCATCAATCATTTTTTATCATACAAAGTTCAATTACTTTTCCCAGGCTACTTATCAGTCCTTCTGATTCGCTCAAACTCCCGAGGTTCCGAACTTCCGAACTTCCATGATATCAACGCACTAACCATCTCTTCCTGGCTTTAATCGAGCCAATTACCTGTGTATTCACGCTTCTAAGTGTCGGTGGGCACCTTGGACAACTCCATCTAGCTCTTGTATAAAAACAGCCTCGACTCGCCCTCACTCATCTGGCAGGCCTCCGGAAATTCCTCCCTGTACGAAGCGCTGAACAAGCTCAAGTTCCTACCATGGGTGGCCAGACTCAGATTGAGAGCCAACAGACTCTTTTCGAGTTACAAGCCACGCAGGAGCAGCTGCATGAGAGCACTCCCTATAGACAGAATCCCCAAATTTCCCATCCTCAAGAGCTCAAGCCGGTTGATAGAGGACGAGATGCCTGGGTTGTGCTCATCGCAGGCTTTGCTTTTGAAGCCCTCTTTTGGGGTGGGTTAGATTATGCTTCAATATTCGACGAAATCTTCTCTAACTAACATAGCTAACAAACCACAGGGTTCCCAATGTGCTACGGGGTGTTTCAGAATTATTACACCACTAAAGTCCCAGAATTTCAAAGCGACAAAGACAAAGTCGCTCTCATTGGTGCTCTAGCTCAGGGCCTCTACTACTTGGGCGCGCCCCTGTCCGCGATTGCAACGAAGAGATTCCCAAAATATCAACGACTGCAGATTTGGCTTGGGTGGCCCATGTGCGTGCTAGGTCTTCTTGCCGCATCCTTCACGAATTCTGTAGATGGACTCCTTCTCACCCAGGGCTTCCTCTATGGCTTTGGGTTCGTGACGCTTACTTATCCCATTATCGCCATGCTTAACGAATGGTGGATTTCAAAGAAGGGCATGGCGTTCGGCCTCATATCCGCATCTTCAGGAGCCACGGGGGCTGTCATGCCATTCATTATTGAGGCGCTTCTTGAAAGATACGGCCACAAAACGACATTACGGGCCTGCGCAGTTGCGATGGTCATCTTGACGGGCCCGTTAATTCCCCTCTTCAAGGGTCGGCTGCCCGCATCTGAACAGGCCAGCTTAGCAAAAATGGACTGGAGCTTCTTTTCAAAACCGCTGTTTTGGGTATATGGATCCGCCATTTTGATCCAGGGGTTCGGCTTCTTCTTTCCAGTGGTTTTTCTGCCTTCCTATGCCTCAGCAATCGGTATCTCGTCACTGAATGGTGCGCTGCTCCTGGCGGTCATGTCTATTTCCCAAGTTTTGGGCCAATTCTTTTTTGGGTATCTGTCGGACAAATCGATCTCTGTTACCCTTTTGTCTATGGTAGCGTGCATCGCTGCGGCCGCAGCCACGTTCGCCCTCTGGGGGCTGGGCAAATCAATGGCAATGTTGGTGCCATTCGCTATTGTGTATGGCTTCTTCGCATTCGGGTTTGGAACATTGCGTGTTGCCATGGGGCGGGCTGTCAGTGACGACCCATCAACAGTCTTTGCCACATATGCCATTTTCGTATTCTTGCAAGGCATTGGCAACGTCATGGTTGGCCCACTAAGCGCGGCATTGATGTCGAAGCCGGTGGTTCGCGGAGCATATTCGGCTGGCCAGTACGATGGCATTGTGTTTCTGACTGGGGCGTCTTCCGCTCTAGCTGCCATGATAATCATTGTATGGTCTTCATATCAGCACTTGATGAGAAAATCATGACGGGGGCATGTTTGTTGTTGTGGGACTGCGTTTTCATAATGGTATAAGCATACGCCTGATTTCTATATGTATTGATAGCCTCCTTTGGCAACAACAAAAATTACTTGTTAAACCATACAGATTCACCACCCCAAGAGAGGCCTGCGTTCTCGAGACTGAGACCTCCCGTTTCCGTGAAGCCTGTGCAGGATAAGCATCCAAAACAAGGCTTTTTGTACCAGGGCCATGAAAGCGTAGTTGATCGGAATCCATCCCACTCGCTGATACCACAAAATGAGAACACCCAATCTCGGCTGTCCTTTAAAATCATCCCAGGGAAAGGCCAGTCTTCCGACCCATCCCACCGCTTCGATGGAGAAGATTGTACCTTGAATTCCCAACCCCTTGAAACTCAGCGAACCGCGGCGCCTGCGGGAATGTATCAAGTGCATCTGGGTTATCAGTGATGCCAAGCAGAGTACTGAGGTAAGAGGAAATAAATAGCTTTGGTGGATTAGTACCGCCCATGAGACTATCCACCCTTCGTAAGGTGCATCCCCGGGACCACCAGGACTGGGGGTGGCACGCTGAAGGAATAGCGGGACAATGGCG